GGTGCGGGCACACGGACGCAAGTACAAGAAATCCCAGGATCATTGCAAAAGAATGACCAGGATTTGTGTAATGCAAGACCGACCTGGCAGGCAGCGACCGTAGCCGCGTAGGGGGCAGTGAGGCGGCACCAGGCAGTGACTTCCGGATCCAGCCAAAGTAAGCTAGAGGACGGATTTTCAAGCCAGACCAGGCCGCCACGACACGCGACTAGTGCAAAAGAAAACGCGTGCGGGAGTGCAGCAGTGAGGAAGTTTGCAGCTCCTTGACCTGGGATGTAGTGGGATGTGGGATGCCCTTGGGATGGCTGAGAGTGCGGACGGGCGGCGGGCCACCTGGTCGGAGTCTCGCACGGGAGAAAGCCGAGCATGGGGGGGCCGCCGCGGCAACACCAACCAGACCCGAAGAACAGAGACGCTGAAGATTGGCGAACGTAGAGTCGTTCAAAAGGTCATGCGCCGGCCCAACCAAGACGTCAACCGGTTCCAGGCGGGCACAGCCAAGGCGTGCGATGCAGTTGGACACCGGCGAGGCCGCACCTGCAAACAGGTCCAGAAATAGACGCTTCGGGGGCACAGCAGGAGTTGGTACAGGAGGACTCAGGAGGAGCCGGTGCCGACACAGACACAGGAAAATTAGCGTCACAGGGAGGCCAGAGGCCTGGAGAGGAGGCCTGCACAGGGCCAGGCGAAGCCGTGACAGGGTCGGAGCTAGGTTCCGGGACCGCAGGAGCCGACGACGAGGGCCGAGCAGCGTGCGGTGCCAGCGGGGACGGCAACGGAACAGCAGCCGCAGGGAGATGGTCGGTTCAGTGTGGGGTCTTGCCGTGCTCAAGGGGGGACGGGCTTGCAAAAGATTAGCCACCTCGCCCCGGCAGAAAGCAACCTCGTTCAGAGAGTCGGAGAGGCTCCACCCATGGTCGCGGATGAGCTCGGAGAGCACAATCTCCTGGAGAGATGGGCCTCGAAGTGACGTATCCATAGGCGGTGTCAGGGACAGGTGCAGGAACCGGTCATTGAACTTCTTAATCGTGGCCAGGTGGACAAAGTCAAGCATGGCGAGGGCAGTCGCAAACAAGCTGAGGGATCGACGGAGCACCGGATCCGGCGGGCCCTGCATATTCAAATTGACTGAGGCTGACGATGGCTCAGCATCAGAATCAAGCAGGGAACGGAGCAACTGACGATCATTGCGAGGGCGACGTGCCTCTTCCCAACGAGTAGCATCGGATTCGGATGTGCGCTGGCGCCATGGAATCCAAAGTGACTGCTGGGAGTCATGGTGGTTCTTTAACAAGGACAGAAAATCCACAGAAGGAGCAGAGTCCGGCGTGAGGAGCTCGCCAGGACATTTCGCCAAGAAAGACTTACGCAAGTGCAGAAGGTCAGGCACCGCGATCTTGGCAGAAGAGGCAGAAGGTGTGGGAGCAGGAGAAGGTGCTCCCGAACCCAGCGCTGGCTTAGGTGGGGCCGCGGACGATGCCTCGAACAACAGACGCCTCAGGCAGGAGGAGTCAGCAGAGACCAAGGCAGCATCGTCCGTGTCAGAGATTGACAGGGTGGACCTGACAAAGAGGCGGACCTCGTCGGCATCCGAGCAGTCGGAGACCGCGAAGGCCAGAGAACCCAGTGACGCAAAGCCCTTTGCGGAAAGGGCAGAGCGGACAGCCGGGGAAGCAGAGAGTTGATCAAGCAGGGCCACCAGGGCCGCCGGATCGTCCAAGCGAGGTCGGACGGACATGCCGGGCAGGCGCGAGGCAGTAGAAGGGCTTGATTTGAGTAAAAAGAAACGGCTGCGGCCTGCAAGCAGTGCAGACCAAAGCAATACAAAGAAACCAAGGAGCAAACAAAGCTCGCAAGGTAACAGAAACACCAACCACCGGCCGTTTTTATAGAACCGAGGGCCGCGAGCGAAACGGCTAACAGTCCTAGCGGCGGCGGTGGCAGCGGCGACAAACGTGGTTCCGGTGGCCGCGTGGCGTCAGGGGACGGCCACAGAGACGGTCACAGCCGGGAACACGACAGGCAATGGTACAGAAATCCTGGGCATCAGGAAAAGCGCGGCGTTTAGGGGCCGGATCCGGCGCAGGGTTGCGGCCCGGGCGCGACTGCGGCACCGGATCAGGCGGAGGGCCTGGCGGTGCCGCCAGCACCACTCGTGCTTGTCCCACCTGGCGCTGCTCCATCGTGTGAAGAATGGAGAGGAGACGGTGACGGACATCAGGGGACAGAAGGGACAGTCCATCAAGGAGTTGCCCGTCAGATGCACCCGGGCGGACCAGAACGGAAGGTACGGGAACGGGAGCAAAATTCCCGTAGCCGGACCACTGGCTCCCAGAAGAAGACTGGGGAGCCTGGTAATAGTCGCCAGGCGGAGCCCAGCCAGATATGATGAACCGGAGCCGGAATCAGGACCCACCAGCGGAGGTGTGGTGTCCGTGGGAGCAGGGTCCGGCACGGTCCACGCGCCACCCGGAGACGGCAGGGTGTCCGACATGGCCGATCCGGAGGCCGCCGGGGCCGCATCGGTTATCGACAGGGCTTCAGCCAAAGCCCCTTCATCCTCTTCGGTGAGGAAGAATCCTTCTGGGATCTCATGATTCACCGGATCCGCCATAGCCCTAACGGGGCACGGGAGGCGAAGCGCACAGGGTGAAAAGAGCAAAAACGGCTGCGGGAAACAGAAGGGGAGAGCAGAAGGGGCAAGGCAGCAAGGTTTGCAAGGACAAACGCAAAGGCTGCGCCGGCCTTTTTTGCCATTATGCGGGCCAGCGTGCAAAACAACTGGTACGGGTGCAGAAGATGGCATCGGCTGGCGCCGTAGCACAAAAACTGTCCGTGTCCAGCTGGTGGGTGCGGGCACCACAAAGTGGGCGGAGCCAGACGGTGGAGCCGTGAATCTCGAACGACTTCGATCGCAATGCCGTGGGCTCCGTCTGCATGGCCACATGCACAACGTTGCTGCGCGCGTTCCAGAGGAACCCGAAAGCAGAAACGGAAGCCGACGGAGGCGGGGCAGTGGCCTTGGGAGCAGCAGGGGCAGACGGGGCGTCCTGTACCGGAACCTCATCCGCCGATGACTCCGACGATTCGGAGGAGAGAGACTCCAAACCAGTATCCGCGTCAGATCCCCTCGTAGTGTCACCCTGCGGAGAGGGCAAGACAGGGAGGTTAGGACGAGCGGGTAGAGCTTCCGGTAAGCAGTCATCAGACAGTGGACCCAGTTCCGGAAGCGAAGCAGAAGAGGGGAGAGTCACCGGGAAGTCCGGTAGGCGGTTCAGACAGGCCGCGTGCCATTGGCTGGAGCGGCCGGAACCCCGAGCGAACAGCGTCGACCACCAGTCTCTGGAGGCGTAGCATGGGTAGGATATCATCCCTGCTGTAAAGGGAAACTGAGCGGTCGGAACCAGACTGGCGATGATGACCTTGGATCCGCCGCAGATCGGAGTCCAGATGCGGCTGTCTGGCCCAGGACAGCAGCGTACATTTCAAAGAGTGAGCAGCAACCAGACCGAAGGCCGCAGGAGCTGGGTCCTGACTCAGCAGGCGCCGGTGCTTAAGCAGAAGACCGCGCAGCCAAAGAACCATGCGCTCACGTTTCAAGGGAGAGGAAATGATCGGCCGGGCTTCGGAACCGGAAAGAGAAGAAGGCAGAAAATCAAGGTGTCGTTGTGGGTTGAGCGCCAAAGTGTCTGCCACAGATTGGCGAAGAACACTCAGGAAGCGGAGAGACCAGCACTGTGATGAAGTGCCGCAGAGTCCTGCTGCTAAGATGCCAAAAGGCATGCCGCGCTTGGTGGTCTTAGTCCGGAGACAGATACCCACCAGAGCAGGGCGGGCACCAGAGGGCGTCCCCCCAACGCAGCGACCCCCAGACACAGAGCAGCAGATATCCAATGCGCAGGATCTCGGCATGAGACGTGTGCGGATCCAGGATACACTTCTCCAGATACAAGACGAAACTGAGGCTCAAGGGCAGACTCTCGCGGTGCTCAGCCGGATGCGAAGCAACGGAGAATGCCTGACATATGGGCGCACAGAGACAGACCTGGAGTTTGGGCAGTCCAGCCGTTTTGCAAAACCATGCAAGGGCGCGGAGTTGCATCGTGGCCAAACCTTGGCGGCTGGACTGTGACTTCAACCAGTCCGGCAGCAAGCCTGGCGGGGGGTCATGGGGAGGTACGGCCGCCAGTTTGCAGAAGGACGACCAATTAAGCCAGGCATCGAAATAACGCAATAATGTGGAGGGGGCGAATTTGCGAGCCGCCCGATCCAACAAGAAATCACGGTTTTGCGATGCAGAAGCCTCCGTATAGAGAGCGGAAGCGGACCCCAATTCAGAAAGAAAGTCTCGCCAGCGGACAAGCAGCGCAGAGTACTGGCGGTCCGTTTGCGAAGCCGAGGACTCCGTGGAGACCGCACCCGCCAATTGCATAGTAGCAGTGGCAGAGGCGGTGAGCTTGAGTTCGAGCGGAGCCGGTGGCTGGGGCAAGGCCGTCGGAGCCGACAACGGGACCGGAGAAACCAGCTGAAGGGGCCGAAACCGCATAGTGATCGGAGGGACCGGAAGCGGGCAATCCACACGAGGGGCCGGGCGAAACGAGGGCATTTTAAATGTCGCAGGCAGAGAGGGAGAAGCCTTGGGCACGCCGAACCCCCCTGGCGCGATAGGATTGCGACAGAGATCCCCGGCACCAACGTGAGCAAGGGCCGAAAGTGGTGGATGGCGCCAGACCCGGAGGCGGTGCTCCTTCTCTGCGTCTCCTGGATTTGGAGTCGGACTCGGAGGAGGTGTGACCGTATCCGGAAGCCGCGGGGCCGGAGCATGAGACACATGCGAGCCAAGGTCGGGACCAGACTCTTCCAAGTCCACCAAAAATGGCAGAGTGTCCGGCAGAGACGGAGGCGGAGGCGGGGGAAATGAGCCAGAGTCCTGAGACAAGCCCGGGGCAAGTGCCGTAGGACCCGGCACCGGCCCAAAACCCGGTGCCTTGGCCGTGGGCTCCGCGAGCGCCACAGAGTCCTGCAGGGAGATAGCACGAGAAAGCGGCAAGACATGACATGAATCATGGCACAAAGAAAGAAACATGTGCAGAGGACAGTTTTTTTCGCAACCGCAGGGCGGTTGTGGTATGCTGCCGTGCCGGTGTCGGCAGCGGGCAGGCCGAGGGAAACTAAAAAGCGGAAAAGAAGGCGGTCACAGGCCGGAACCGCAGAGACTTCCTGAAGCCGGGAGCGGCATCTATCTGGGAACGGCTGTGCGCCTGAGACGGCCCAACCTCTGTCCTGCTGCGGACGGCGGAAATGAAACAGGATACCGAAAAACCAACGTCTCTACGTCAACAGAACAAACCGTGCAGCAGAACAGCGGCGGACGCGGTTTCACCGCCCCGTAAGGCAGTGAATGCAGACGTGCTGCGTATGGCCGGCTCTTTCGCCGGCCATGATCGGACGCAGACACAGACCCAGCGGTTTCCTTGCTCCCGCCGGAGGAGACGGGAGCAGGAATGGGTACAAAACCCACGGAGGCGGAGGTGGGACAGCGGGTCCGCGGGCTCCTGTTGCTCCAACCAGCGGGGGTGCTCTCCCGGACTCAGACAAAACAAGTCCGGGAACGGCCACCACTCCGGCCTGTGTATGGTCCCCGGAGCGGTGGGAATCTGAACATCGATGCACCACCCTTCACGGGGACTCCATGGCGGAGAGCGGAGCAACGGAGGCAGACTCGGGCGCACGTCGACCCACGTATAGGTGTTCGGAGCCAGATTGCGCGGACTCAGCTGGCCGTACCAGGCCGATTCCCACAAGGAATCGTCGGAGTCGTCAGGGACGACTTCGGGGACGGGACGGGCAGCCGGAGTCGGAGCATCTGGCGGGGAGGACTTAGGGCGCGTGGTCTGGCGGGCCGCTGAGTCGGGTGCGGGATCGTCGTTGGAGGACCCAGGGCGTCCCGGAACCGGCCCAGCGCCAGAGCTGGCAGGTCCAGCACTGCCACCCGGATAGGGTAGCGGGCAAACTTTGGGGACGGCCACGCGAGTCGCGGTGGACTCCTGAGGTGGCGGGGCCGGCGCAACATCCGGGGCCTCGTCCTTGATCTCCGTCGCAGCGGGGCCGGAGCTGGTGCGGGGGCACGGGGAGGCGGCTCCTTCACAGCCGGTGCCGCACGCAGAAGCAGACGGCCCGGAGGCGGGTTGCGAATCGGATCGGATCGGCACCGGAAACAGAGACAGACGTGCCCTCATACCAGCCTAATCGGCCGAGGGCGGTTGCGGATGCTTCAAGGGTTAACCTAATCAGATCGGATGTAGGTAAAGAAGCAAGCGCAGACTGTCTCGCCTGTTGCGGACGGTCTAAGAAAGACATAATCTCGCCCCAGGCTTCCGACGGCGGAGGCGGGGATGCGGAACCGGAGTCGCCTCCCGTAGCGACCACTTCGGGTGCATCAGGGGCGGACTCTTCCGGAAGCGGAGAGGCGGCGGCAGAGGGCTCCTCCATGGCCGGCTCAGTAGTGTCGCCACTTTCAGAAGTGGGGGACAACATGGGAGCCGGACCGGGAGCGGGGGCAGCCACCGATTCCTCTCCAGAAGCAGCAGAGGTCCGCGAAGAAGACGGGATGTCTGCAGCGCCGGTCATCACGTAGATGGCAAGGGCAATGTTAGCGGGGAGCATCCAAAAGTGCTGCGGAGCAGAGCGGCTGCAGAAAAAGGCGAATAAGTGTAGCCAACCAAAAAACAGAAAAGCATGCAACAACGGAGCAGACACTGCACGCAATGTTCAGGCATGCCAACACAAGACGCAGACACGGTCCTCGGATGCATGGGAGCACCGCGAAGGAGACCGGCGTCGAGATCTTGAAGATGAGGTGCTCCGAGTCCGGCGACCTGGGCACGGAACACGAAGGCAAAGACAGCCGCCGGGTCAGACCGAGCACCGGGCGGACAGATCTCGAAGTAGACGAGGACCGGGAAGACCCGGAACCACGTCGAAAGTGTCGCCGTCGCCGACCTGGTCGGGCAACGGGCGAGCACTAGATAAAGAGGGAAGGTACAGGGACACCTCGCCTCTAGCCATGAGAGAAAGCCGCGGGCACAGCCTACCTTGAAAGCTC